CAATTCCAAATTCTTCAAACAAAAAGAGGAAGAGGACAAGCAAAGGAGATAAAAAACTTGGAGTAGCTAAAAAACTTCAAAATTCTCTTGACCATATTCTTGATGGAATGGCTCAAGTGTCAACTACTATTATTGGAGGATCAAAACTAAATGATCCTTTTAGCTATGACAAGTGTTTATCAATGTTAAATGAGGTTCCAAACTTCATAAAAGGAACACATCAATATTTTTTGGTCATGAGAATTCTAGCCAAAAAAGAAAATAAGGTAGCATTTTGTCACTTCATAGACAATGATCAGTAGATGACTATCAATTGGCTAAACGCTTTCACAAATGAGGGCATCCCACATACCTATTGATTAGACCTATTTTATATGTTATTTTTTATGCGTTGAATTTATAATATTGCACATGCTTTACATTTTATTTGATTTACTTAACTTATGGAACAATTGGTAATATTTATTCAAAACTTATATATATATGTGTGTGTGTGTGTGTGTGTGTGTGTGTGTGTGTGTGTGTGTGTGTGTGTGTATTTTGAATTTGTATTGATTACATTTACTTTTCCAAGATAACTGATAATTCAAATGTAAGTGATGATGATCCTACGTGGAAATTGAAGTCCGCAATATTTATAAGTATAGACTTGAAATTGCAATGAATTTGGCTACCTTTTTAGATACAATATGTGTTGAAATATGCTGTGAAAGAAAAGAAAAACTACTTCAATTCTCTGTGGTCACAAGTGGCTAGTAGAGTTGATAGGGGAAATGAAAATAGGTTTTTGAGCATTTTCGAATGAGAAAACATGTATTTCAATATTTGGTTTCAAAGTTGACCAATAACTATGGACTAACACTTACCAAATACATTGGAGTGGATGAAAGTGTTGCATTATTCTTGTATCTCATAGGTCAAGGAGCCACATATAGACAAGTTCAAGAATGATTTCAACACTCTAGTCAACCTAATCACAATCATTTCAAAAGAGTTTTAGTAGCTACATACAAGTTAAGCAATCGTGTAATTAAGCCTACTGATCTATGCACATTGCTACTTCTCAATATATAAAAGATGATGATCAATATTGGCCTTACTTTAAAGACTGCATAAGGGCAATAGATAGTACTCATATTGGTATACATGTCCCAATAGATAAGTAGATACTTTTTTATAATAGAAAAGCATATACGAGAACAAATGTGATAGCTGTATGTGATTTTAATATGTGCTTTACATTTGCATCATGTGGCTGGGAAGGATTTGTTCATGATACATGAATTTTTATGGACACCCTTAGCAAACCACATTTACGATTCCCTTATCCTCCTGAAGGTTAGTATTATCTAACTTGGAGATATTTAGGTGATTTATAAAAAATTTTGTAATATTGTTTAATATTTTTTATTTATATATGGGTAAATATTATCTCGTTGACTTAGGATACTCATCATTCAAAGGTTTCTTAGGACCATATATGAATACAAGGTATCATCTTGCACATTTTAGGATGGCTCCTGGCTTCAGATCAAGTGATGAAATATTTAATTTTCATCATTCTAGTTTGGGAAGTGTTATTGAGATAACTTTTGGTATTTGCAAGGCAAGATGGAGAATATTGCAAAATATGACTAATTTCAACCTTGCTACTCTAATTTCTATCATATAGGCATGCTTTGCACTCCATAACTATGTTAGAAGGATGGACTGAAATGACTTAGATTTTTTCAAATTTTTGAGAATCTAAATGAATCATAGGATAGAGAACAACATTTTAATGATGGGGATGGTAATAATGTACTTGACCATGATGAATGGCAAGATCCCATACAAGCAGATGTTAGACACATATAAGAAATAAGAAATGCTATTAGAGATTAATTGCCAAGATGAATGTGTCACTAGATTTTTTGGATCTTTTTTTAATTGTTTTTTATGTTAGCAAAAACTTTGATATTTGCTTTGATGGATTGGAGTTTGGAATAATTTATTTTAAATAACATTACTTAAGTATCTACAAAATTATTAAAAGCACTTTTTTAATCGAAACATGTTTTAAAAAAAAGTACTTTTACATGTCCATTATTGTAATTTAACAAAACAAGCACTTGTACATTGTTTTAAAATATTTTTTGATTTTTTTAAATCTTTATAAAGTAAATTATTTTTTTTATAAAATCTCTAAACTATCTAAAAATCACTTATATTAATCTTAAACAAATAGGCACTAAACAACTAGGAGAACATTAGTAGCTTAACAAAGAAATGAAGCAAGAATTAGCACCGTGCATTAAATTCTTACAATGAATGAAACAAATGTAGAACCCTTAACCAAAAATGAAAAACTTAATCATGTGTCAATTTTACATACCCAACTTTTTCTTTATTTTTTTTCCAAAAAAAAACCCTAAATATGTCAATCACGGTAATTTTAATGGATGGAACTTAGATAAAAATAAATAAGTAAGTATCCCTCTCTTCTGAAAAAAATTTCCTCCTCCTCATCAAATTCAAAGGAGACAAATCATATTCTTCGTCCTCTAATCCCCCCAATTCAACTTCCTCAACAACATCTTTCCCAAAGAAGGCATATTGTAATACATTAAATATTGTATCTCCTATATAATATAAAAGTTTGAGACAATAATCACCCCACTTGATTTCTTCAGATGATTAGCATATGCACAGCTTCATATGCAAAACTTTTAGAGGCTAGGAAGCAAGCAAAACCATGCATCTTGACATGAATTAGAACAAGTCTCATGTTTGGCATGTCCTTGACCTTTTTCAGAACATAGCAGTATTATTTGTCAATATCCTAGATGAGACTTGTTAATTTCTTAGGGTTACTTGTTATTAAACTTCATACAAATTACAAACAAACACACATTTTATTCAACATCACTTGTTAATTTTCTAGATTTACTTGTTATTATACTTCATATAATTTACAAACCAAACCCAACATATACATTGTTAAATTACTATTAATAATTAGTAAATTTGTAATAGCACTTGTCATTCACCAACTTTAACTTACTCATTCTTTGAAAATCAGGTTAAAATTCCAAAACAAAAAAACACACAAGTAAAGTTGAAAAATGAACAAACCCAACAAAGCGGGAAAATCTCTACACTAAGTGGTTTACATCAATAAGGGAAAAATAACAATGCTTAACAACCTCACACTTTAATAAGAGATTAAGAGAAGGAAGTGACATGCTAGTGATTGAAGGTATTTGGATTAGAGACGAAGACTTGACTTTGTGAGATTGAGGAGTTCAAGCGATTCTCACCTTCATGCAAGTCCTCGATAGGAAAAGTTGAAATCAGTGAAGAGAGAAGCAAAAAGCAAAATTTGAATGAAGATGAAGATAATAAGTAGAGGAGTTTAGGACTCTGCTTTCTACACTAACACATGCAATTTGATTTCTTTCAAAGTTTAAATTGAGAGTATTTTTGTTTTTTGATCATTAAAATAAATTTCATTTTAGTCCTGTTGGATTGAAGTGAGAATTTCAATTTTAATAGGCTTCATTTGTGATTATGTCACATCTCTAGTCCAATATTAAAATTTTTCCTAAAAAAAATTATGTGTTAATTCATAATTTTTTGTTTGATTTAATATAACCTTGTGGAATTTTAAATACAAAAAGAAAAAAAGTAAGAAAAAGTAGTAATATTAGACAAAATATAATACATAAAATTCATTTATATTAAATGAAAAGTATTTTTTAAAAATTTTTATTTATATTTTAAAAAATTGTAAAATATATTTAACAAATTTTATTTATATGAGTAATTTTGTAAAAAAAAAAATTTATAAAGCTAAAGTATACATTTAGTCCTTTAACTTTGCACAATATTTATTTTAATTCCTCAACTTTATGAAGTATCTTTTTAGTTCTTTAATCCTAACATTGTTGGTTTTGTCTCAAAAATTTTTTACATTACACTTTTAAATATTGATAAAATATTCTCAAATGTTAATCTATTAAGTTTAATTTTTTTAAGATAACAATAATTAAAACAAAAAATAATTATTAAAAACTAATGATGTTAGAGTTAAAGGATTGAAAAAATACTTTAAAAAATTAAAAATAAAATTAAAATTTATATAAAATTAGAGGATTAAAAATATATTTTAACTAATTTATATCTAGGATAGATGAATTATTATATTACAAAAAATCTATGTATATTTATATATTTTACAAAATATTACAAATACACCACACTTGATTATTTATCTTTTTGCAAATGGGAAAATGACAATAAAAAATCATTAAAATATACAAATAATAATAAATTTTAGAATGCTATAATTCTTTTAAAATTTTATGTGCATTTTTGAGATTAATATTCTAAATTAAAGGATTAAATTACTCCTTATTTAAAAAAATTAATAGGTTCATATAAAAAGTTATAATTTTTTATTTAATTTTTATAATTCATTGAATAAAAGTTATAATTTTTTAAATAAAAATTGTAATTAGTTATTTTCAGAACTTATACTTTAATAAAAAAATTTTATATGACAAGTTATAATTTTTTTAAATTTTTATTATTTATAAAATAAAAATTATAATTGTTAAAATAAAAATTATAATTAATTATTTTTAAAACTCATATTCAATGATAAAAGAAACTTTTATTTGAAAAATTGTGAGTTTTTATTTAATTTTTATAATTTATAAAATTAAAATTATGATTATTTATATAAAAATTACAATTGAGATTGAATATTTTTAAAATTTATTTATCAATTATAAAAAAAATTTTACTTATAAAATTTTAACTTTTTAGTAAATTTTTATAAAATATAAAATAAAAATTGTGATTTAAAAAAATGAAATTAGGTATATTATTTTTATTGTAAATAAGAGATAATTTAATAATTTAAACTTCAGAAAAATGACAACATATCGAATGACCTCACTGTTATTTATAAATTGCTTAAAATTTCATTATCATTTCATAACAAAAATTGGGTCTTGGTTTAAAGGTTACTGTTCCAAATTTTTCGCCCGACCTGAAAACGATTCACGACGGGGAAGTCAGCGGCGGGATCTCTGTCCAGTTTCCAGCCGGCAATTTCCTGCCCACCTAAATCATTCTTGGCATCCTCTGCTTTGCGTGGAAGCAGCAAGACTGCCTGGTGGACGTGTGTGTAGGATCTTTAGCATCCGATGTCACTCTCAGAATCTCCGGTTGCTGCCGATGAGGACAGCGACCCATCGATTGACATGGAAGTAGAGGAAGATCCTGGGGAAGAAGAATATGAAGAAGAGGAAGATCCCGAAGAGGAAGAATATGAAGAGGTGGAAGTAGAGGAAGAAGTAGAGGAAGAGGAAGAAGAGGAGAAGGGGGAGGAAGATGAAGAAGAGGAGGAGGGAGAGGAAGAGGGAGAGGAAGAGGAAGAAGAGGAGGAGGGGCAGGAGGAGGTGGAGCAGGAGGAGGAGGAGGTGGAGGTGGAGGAAGAGGTGGAGGAGGAGGAGGTGGAGATGGAGGAAGTGGAGGTGGAGGTGAAGGACAATTTTAAGGTGTCGGAACTTCCAGCAGATGCTGCTAAGGACCCAGAAGGTTATTTAGTTCATAATTACTACGCATTTACGCAGTATTTACTTGTCTTCTAAATTTATCTTCACACATTTATGAGGCTTTATCGCAAACTTTTACTTCTTGATCGGGCTTGAGCTTGTTTGTGCGTAATGCTAGATGTGAATTCCGTGTTGTGCTTGTTATTTCTTTGTTTTTCAAAATAATGTTGTGCTCTTGTTTCTTCAATCTTGTTTGATCTTTCTTTGAGCTATGGAGGGAAAGTGTAATGGCGGGTACCAAGGCAGGAATATATAGGTTTGGTTTCTGGTAGGAGAAGCTGAAGGGCTTCTTCTTCTATGTCTGGGGATAATCAACAACTCAGTAAGACTGTTTCTTTTCTGTCCATATACGTTTCTGGATTGGAAATGGATATGAGAAAATGTGAACTCAAAGTGTTAAAACATAGTAGAGGGGCAGCCTATGGCATTTTTACGAGTGTCCTGTTGTGTTTTCAAGCATACCAAATTACGGGAATTAGCGCCTTTTAAGAAATCTGTTTCCCAAATTATGCATAGCCTCTTAAAAAATATTTAGGTGCCCCTTCTGCGGGTAATCTGTCCTTTGCTGTTCTCTAGGATATTTTGGCTGAGAGGATTTTCATGCTTTTGAACCAATGGATTTTTTTTTTTTTTTTATCAGTAAAGCATGTCCTGTGGATTAATGATTTCTTTTTTAATTTGACCAAGTTTGGTTTGATTTGAGGCCCAACCCTGAACTGATCCAACCATTATGGGTTCTTATAAATGAACAAAACCAAAAGAACATATGAAATTGAGTGAACCTTCCTTGGTTCATGGTCTAGTATGATTCTAATTTCTTCATTCCAAGCTTTTCTTTTGTTGACTGTATGATGTATAGATGAATTATAAGCACCATATGACATATGTAAGATAGAACAAAAAATTATAGTTTACGCAGACTGGTGTGGGGACTTTCATTTTTAGTGGACAGAAGGCATGGAGCTTAATTTGCAAAACCATGAGCTGAAGTTACTAAACTGATTGTATCTCTTTGAAACTGAATAGAGCAAATCCAAATCCTGTATGATACAAAAGAGATTGATGGCTTGCTTCAGTTGGATGACGACCTTGTTAGGTATAAGTAGTTAGTAACTAAATTCACCTAAGTCTATTGGTGCCGTTAGTGACAAACTTATTGTTGAGGAGCTTGGCTAGTTAGAGTTCTTAACTAAGAAACTTTTACATAGTTTTATAACAGAAGGAAGAAGGTGGCTATGAATTTGATGGTGGATGCAATTATGAAATTCTTTCTCTTGTTCTTTCTTCTCTCTTATAGTCTTATCTCTTGTCAAGTTGTATTTGAATCAACAATTCTTAGATTTATGGTAGATGTGATTGAATCACAAGCTTCCATGCATGACTAGGAAGATTGATTTTGTTTGTTAATGGAGTAGCAAGTTTATTCAATAAAAGGATGTGTTGGACCTGTAGCTAATGGAGCCTTATCTAATGGGTCAAGGCTAATCCATGTGGAGTGTGTGAGAGATGGAGGTAGGCTGTTTGCTTTATATATTTGGGAAGAAGGGTTCTGTGGAGGTTAGGCAATTCGTGAGTTGCATGTGGGGGAGATAAGGGCCTGTTAGCTATGGTTCCCACAGGATGTCAGCCCTGAAGCAATAGGTTGTGCATGACTTGGAAGATCCAGTTTGTCTGTCAGTGGAGTAGCAAGTGAAGAGTTTTGTCAATCACTGGATGTCTACCTTGGAGCATAGGTTATGGGCATTCAAGAAGTATTCGAAGGAGTGTCAGTACCAACAACTTGATGATGGGGAGGACCAATGACAAGAACGGAGGAGGATAAGAACAACAACAACAACAACAACAACAACAACAACAACAACAGCAGCAGCAGCAAGCCTTTATCCCACTAGGTGGGGTTGGTTACATGGATTGCAAGACGCCATTGTGCTCTATCATTTATCAAGCGTTTAGGAATATTATTAATTGAGAGATCTCGTTCAACAACTTCCAAGAGTGTTCTCTTAGGCCTTCCTCTATCCCTCTTAATCGGACTCAAAGTTATATGTTCCACTCTTCTCACTGGTGCCTCCTTTGGTCTTCTTTGTACATGCCCAAATCATCTCAACCGATTTTCTACCATTTTTTCCTCAATAGGTGCTACCCTCACTTTTTTGCGTACGTGCTTATTTCGAATTTTATTTTTACGTGTATGTCCGTACATCTATCGTAACATTCTCATCTCTGCTACTCCAACTTTATGCTCTTGCTGTCCCGTTAGAGCCCAGCATTCACTACTATATAACATTGCCGGTCTGATAGCAGTGCGATAAAACTTTCCTTTAAGTTTATTAGGCACCTTACGGTCGCAAATAACTCCTTTAGCTTTTCTCCAATTAAACCACCCAACTTGAATTCTATGTGAAATATCTCCACTGATTTCGCCATCATTTTGAATAATGGCTCCCAAATATCTAAACTTTTCCACCTGAGGTATAATTTGATCTCCCAATTTCACTTCCAAATTATTTTCGAATAGTTCTTTGCCAAATTTACAATATAAATATTCCGTCTTACTTCTACTCAGACGAAAACCTTTCGACTCCAATGTCCTCCTCCATAACTCAAGTTTGCAATTAACCTCTTCTCTTGTCTCTGCTATAAGAATTATATCATCCGCGAAGAGCATACATTTCGGGATTTCCTCTTGAATATGTTCCGTCAAAACATTTAAAATCAAGTTGAACAAATAAGGATTCAGAGATGATCTCTGATGTAGTCCAATCTTTATAGGAAAATCTTTTGTTTGACCACTAGGCGTTCTTATACTAGTTTTTACCCCCTCATACATATCTTGTATGGCTTTAATATAAGCAATCCGTACTCCTTTTTTTTCCAACGCTTTCCAAAGCACTTCTCTTGGTATACAGTCATAAGCTTTTTCCAAATCAATAAAAACCATGTGTAGATCTTTATCTTTACAACGATACTTTTCCATTAATCCCCTTAGTGGATAAATCGCCTCTGTAGTTGATCTACCTGGCATAAAACCAAATTGATTCTCAGAAATACTCGTCTTCAATCTCAACCTGTGCTCAATTACTTTCTCCCACAATTTCATTGTGTGGCTCATGAGTTTAATCCCTCTATAATTAGTACAATTCTGAATATCTCCTTTATTTTTATAAATAGGAATTAATGTACTTCTCTTCCACTCATCAGGCATTTTCTTGGACCGTAAAATCACATTAAATAACTTAACTAACCATCTCACCCCTTCTTCACCTAAACATTTCCACTCTTCGATAGATATACAATCAGGTCCGTTGGCTCTACCATTTGCCATTTTCTTAAGAGCTTCCTTTACCTCCTTATCACGTATTATTCGATAGAATGACAAATTTTGTTTTCCTTTACCAGTTATTAAATCCTCTAAGTTACTAGATGAATCCTCTCCATCATTGAAAAGTTTAGAAAAATAAGTCTCCCATCTATTTTTAATTTCATCATCTGTAACTAAAATTCTTCCCTCTTCATCCTTAATACACCTTACCTGTTCTAGATCTCTTGATTTTCTTTCCCTACTTTTGGCAATCTTATAAATATTTTGCTCTCCTTCCTTCGTCTCAAGGTTCTTATAAAATTCTTATAAACAGCTCTCTTAGTTTCCTTCTTAGCCATACGGTACCTCTCCCAATTTTCCTCATTGTTACACAAATGTATGGCTTTAAAATAGTTCTTCTTATACTTGATTTTGTCCTGTACACTATTATTCCACCACCAAGACTCCTTATCTCTCGGACCAGAACCTTTCGATTCTCCCAAAACTACTTTTGCAACCTCCCGTATCTTTTTCGCCATATCCTCCCATATGATGATAGCACTTCCCTGAGAATCCCAAATTCCTTTATCCAAAAGATTTCGCTTGAAAATATCTTGCTTCTCACCTTTTAATTGCCACCACTTAATCCTTGGTGTTACTACTTGTCGACGTTTTTGGATTTTACTCATAATACACACATCAAGGACTAGGACCTTATGTTGTGTCGTTACAGCATCTCCGGGGATCACCTTACAATTTTACAAAGTTTTCTATCTGTGTTTCTAACCAAAAGAAAATCAATCTGTGACCTTGAGGCTCCACTTTTGTAAGTGATGAGATGCTCATCTCTCTTCTTGAAACAAGTGTTGGCAATCTTAAAATCATACGCCAATGAGAAATTAAGAAGAGTTTGTCCTTCATTGTTTAGCTCTCCAAAACCAAAACCACCATGCACCCTCGCATACTGACCAGCTTCCCTCCCGACATGCCCATTAAAGTCTCCTCCAATAAAAATCTTTTCACTCTGTGGTATGTGTCGAATCAACCCCTCCAGATCCTCCCAAAATAATTCCTTAAGACTGGCTTCTGTCCCGACTTGCGGCGCATAAGTGCTAACAATATTAACAGTCTCACGTCCAATTATCATTTTTAAAGAAATAATTCTGTCTCCAATTCTGCTAACTTCTACAACGTTCTTCTTCCACTCCTTATCTATAATGATGCCTACTCCATTGCGTGCACTTACTTTTCCTGTATACCAAAGTTTGAAACCTTGAATATCCTTAGCTTCTTCTCCACGCCATTTTGTTTCTTGCAAGCAAAGGATATTGATTTTCCTTTGAATCATAACCCCTACAACCTCTACAGATTTACAATTTAATGTCCCAACATTCCAAGTACCAAATCTAATTTTGCTCTTATGGACTAACTTCTTTAGCCGCGTGCGTCTAGAATGACGCGGTAGCCCTTGCTCATTTAACACTACATCCGGGCGCCGATGCAGCGGCTCCAACTCACTTATCACTGTACTCGAGCCATGCAGCGCGTTACTTACGGGCAACGACCTAGCATTACATTATAACGTCTATTGTCCATGTTCATGATAGATTCAACAAATTTTTACATTGGCTATTGATGGTCTAACACAACCCTCCTCCTTTACTCGAGGATTGCAAAGTTAC